ACATATCGGCATGGATGTCATTCCACTTCCTCAAACTCAATCTTTCCAAAACTGAGCTCTTAGTATGCCCACCAGCCCGTGCCCCCTCCCCCTGACTTCTCCATCAAATTCAATAACACAATCATCAGTCCCTCCCCTCATGCCAGGGTACTAGGTATAATCCTAGACTCCCATCTGTCCTTTCACCCCCAAATCCAATCACTGTCCAAATCTTGTAGACCTCTCCTCCGCAACATCTCCAAGATATGCCCATTCCTAACCTTGGAAACCACTAAGCAACTTAGACCCTGAGGAAGTCACGTGATCAGCGTGACGCAATGCGTCGGTGCGCGAGGAGGATTCTGGGAAGCGCGGTGATGTCATTTCTGGCGTGGCGGCCATATTTGAAACCCCTATATCTATTACCCATGCAAGGCAGGCATAGCATGAGGTGAAGGAGCCATATGTGTACATGAAAGATGAAGGAGCATGTGAGTAGATATCTCTATGTATAGTTTACCCAATAAATGCGGTTTTACACTATGGGAGTCTTCTGTTTATGCATGAACCGGAGAGGAATGTGAATATAAAGTATACAGCGCTTGGAAAGATCCTGAGATACACCAGAGTGGTGTTTGTCCCTTGAGGCGAAGTGTCCCTGTATGATCTGTGTAAGGAGGAACCGGAGAGGAAGCTGGTTATAGAGCATACATCGCTGGGGAGGATCCTGTGATATACCAGAGTGGTGTTTGTTTCCCAAAGCGAGTTGACCCTGCAGGGTCGATGTAAGGAGGTGAGGGGCCATTGCAGCTAATTTTGGATATACACAGTGTGGACACTTGACAACACTTGCATGAAGATTGTGTATGAGATACACTATATATTTATATATGGACATGTTCACACAGAGTGGCGTTGTTTAGAGTATTTTGTGGTATACAGTTGGTTTGGTCACTTGGTCACTTTGAATATTCCCTTATAGGGAATACACAGATTGCACTGTATTGAGTAAAATTGATCACTTGGTCACTTTTGTTTATTCCCTGTGGAATACACGTGTTACACTTTATTTGCACTATTGCACATTTATATGATATATATTGATTTGAATATTTATTTATTTATATGTATGTTTTTTTAGTATTGAGCGCTACACTATTTATTTATTTATTGATTTGACTCACATTGGTAGGAGGTTAAGTGTCAGCAGCTATAGGGAGAGGGCCCCATTCTGAGCGCAGGAAGTTGTTTCTTAATTTATTCACTCCTTTGTTATATCTCACCTTGACTATTTTAACTCCTTTCTCATTGGCCTACCTAATCGCAAGCTATCCCCTCTTCCGTCTATCATGAATGCTGCTGCCAGACTTATCCACCTTACTAACCGTTCTGTGTCTGCCACCCCTCTCTGCCAATCCCTCCACTGGCTTCCCATTGCCCAACGGATAAAATTGAAAACACTAAAAATAATGTATAAAGCCATTTATAACTCTCCCCCAAATTACATCAACGATCTTTTCTCTAAATATCACCCAAACCATACTCTCCGCTCCTTGCAAGACCTCCTGCTCTCTAGCTCCCTTGTCTCCTCTCCAGGACTTTTCCAGAGCTTCCCCCATCCTCTGGAACTCTCTATCCCAGTTTATCAGACTATCGCCTATTCTGCTCACTTTTAGGTGATCTCTGAAAACCTATCTCTTCAGGGAAGCCTATCCTGCCCTCAGCTAATAATGGAATCTTCTACTCTTCCAACCAGTCCATCCCCCACATTTACTACCTTTTGTACCACTAGCCCCTCCCTCCTAGATTATAAGCTCCAAGGAGCAGGGCCCTCCTATCCCTCTTGTATTGAACTGTATTGTTGCTGTATTGTCTCCTGTTATATTTTAAAGTGCTGAGCAAACTGTTGGCGCTATATAAATATTTATAGCTATGTCTGGCTCCTGTGCCATACCAGCCGGACATCTAGGTTTCAAACTGTGGATCAGATAAACTATTGTCAGTGCAGCAAATATTTGGTTCTTTGAAACCTGCTATTTTGGATAGTTTAATATATTGAACTATTACGTGTGAAGGGTTTGAAATGAAAAATGTGACTGATGATGCAACTGTTTTTTCGAATGGTCATCCCTCTGCTCCTAAAATGGTCTAAAGAAGCTCATGTACCAGATTTTGCCTCTGAGCCAAGTAAATTTTGCTGCAAGCATTTTTATGCATTTTTAGCAAGTTTTTCATGTTTTTTTGTTAATGGCACCACAAGCACATTGAGCATTTTAGTGTATTTTTCCCAAGTTTGAAGATTCTGCTTTAAAATGTATATATGTGAATAAGCCCTTCCAGTCTCTGCTAATACCTTCTTTGTTCAGTTGAAGCTTGTCACTTATAGTGATTATCTGAGCCCAATGTTGGCCGAGTGCAGTAAATTGATCCAAAGTATGGCCTCTTCAGGCAGTCATGGAATATTATCCTTTTGACATACAAAGACTGGTGGTAAACTGTTATTGTAAATATAGAGGAAATGCTTTCTTGTGCATATCAGGGTGGATAAAAATCAATGATTTTTAAAAAAAAAAAAAATAAAAAAAATCTGATTTTTTTATTTAAATTGGATTTTTTTTTTATTTAAATCAGATTGTTTTTTAAATAAAATGCTTTTTGAGCAAAATATATTACCATCCAAAGGTTATTCCATCATGAAATAAAGATTAGTTTTTTAATTATGTAGAATAAGACTGTATATGTTTAATTTTTTTGGTAAATAAATTCCATGAAACCATTCACAATGTCATGCTCTTCCAGAGGTTTTTTTGTAAGATTATTGGGCAGTTTCTCTGCCTACAAGATATTATCACAGATGCTTGGTTTACTTTTGCAGTTCTAAAAACTGAATTTGACTCAGCGGAGATCACATGCCTCTTCTTCACAGCAAAAATGTTATAACATGAACAGAGTTAAGAAAAAGACCTTAATGCTAACTTCTACAAACCTATGAATACAGAATCAACCCCTTCAGTGCTAAGTTTCAAGAAGTTCAGTGAATAGAATAGAAACAATATTTTTCTGATTGTTTGGAGTGGAATAGATCTGCACACGACGAAAGTGAAACTAAGTGTGAGGAGGAAGGGGCTGACAGTCTAAGTTTCTTAAAATATATATATTTTGTTTAGCCAAATTAGTTAACAAACATGGATGTTTGTTTAAGCAAATAACATATATAATGTTATTGTTTCAGTTGAAAAAAAAAACTATTTAAATTGTTATTATTAAGGTAATGATTATTTTTCTCCTTCCTAAGTACAACAGAAAAGTTGTCCAAATATGAATGATTAACCTATTAAACTGGGGATAAAAAAACTAATATAAAAAGTTGTTATTCTAAAAATCTTCATCTACTTGCATATTAAAGTTATACCAGCAAGAATTAGTCTTTATGTAGAAAACTAGGATTTAAATCAAACCTTACTAACTAGTGATTTAAATCGTGATTTAAATCGTGATTTAAATCAGTTTAATTTAAATCAAATCCACCCTGCTGCACTGCATATTATGCTTTTTCTCGAAAAGTATCCATGTAATAGGGCCAGGTACAATAGTTGAATGCTTGCCACCAATCTGTGTATAAATCTGCCCCTTTTAAAGGGCAATTAGATTAGATAAGATATGACAGAAGACTGACTGCTGGTAGTAGTTTGGAATATCAAACCTAGGGGATGGAAACTGTATAATAATAATAACTGCATAATTCAAGTGTCATGAATTACAACACAGTTCAGAGAGCCTATAGCAGGCTGCACATTGCCCTATATTAAATGCAGATCTTAACTGTTCTTATTATTGTTTAAAACAAATAGGGGGAAATTTACTAAAATTGGAGCAGACAGAATTTGGAGGACTAACCAATCAGCTTCTAACTTCAGCATGTTAAAGTAAGCTTTGAAAATAAAATCTAGAAGCTGATTGGTTGTAATGTGCAACTGTTCCAGCAGACTTAAGTCTCGTAAAGACGATGAGAATTTCGGATAAGTGATCGTCCGTTTTTTTGCATACTGGTCTCTATATCAAAAACGAAAAGGTTTACCCAACTAACGAAACTCTCGTACGACAGAAAAGGAAGTGATGAAATGTATTCTATTGTATTTGTATCGCATTTTTGGACGAATGATGTACTGATTAAATGAAAATCATACGATCTGGTATTGTACAAGAAAAATGTTCGTGTTTGTCCTATTCAGATATTTTCAGATGAACTGTTGTGATCGGCTCTCGAAAACTGTGTACTAATGATCAGATTACTGTACAAAGCGGTATTTTTCGTATGATTTTATGTTCGTGTCTGTAAGGCTTTAGTAACTTTCCCTCCATGTATCTATGCTTGCCAAGTCAATCAGTCTGCACAGGTACTTCACACATTAATCTCAGAGAACCCAGGCCATTTATACTTGAATCCTACTACAGCAGATGTGTTTTTACCAACAACTAGCCAGCTCACATGCCTCACTCTAAGGGCCAATCCTCTTACATGTATGTATTGTTCCTACAAGGCCTATTTACTTTACACACACTCAGACACACATCCAAGTAATATGCTAAAATGATATCTACATTAATAACATACCTCTGCTCTCTCAAGGAGATTGCTAATGCTATCAATTATTGAACACCGCTATAGTGGCTAACAGGGAATAAATTATAAAAACAGCTTATATTCTTTTTTTGCTTCAACTCAGCAAGGACCCTCATCTTGTTTTTAATCAAATCATTCTAATTTTGTTCTCGTTTGTTCCAATTTTTCAAAGATTATAGCAAATGATATATGAGTTTCTGTTTTCTGCTTGTGAAACATTAACTGTAAAACCATTTAGGAAACCAATCAAAATTGAGTTTCTTAAAAAATATGCTTGTTGCTGATGGAAAGCAATCATACATTTCATAGTACTTTGCTCTCTGCACTGTTCATTGTATAATCCTGACACTGAAAATACAGAAATATTTAAGTTTACCTTGTATTTATTTTTTCAAAGGTCCATTACCTAATGGTGCTATCTGCCAACTGGGCCTATGTGAAAGACGCCTGCCGAATGCAAAAATATGAAGACATCAAATCCAAGGAAGAACAGGAACTTCACGACATTCACTCCACCCGTTCTAAAGAGCGACTTAATGCTTACACATAAAACTAAACTCCTACATTTGTAACATTTCAGTTCTTTGTTGTTTCAACTAACAGCCTCCCTTCCATTATAAAATGAAAATGAAGTGCTTTTCCTAAAAGATAGGCCGAGTGTCACCTATCTCCATAACCTTGATTGACCAGCACTTTGCATCTTCACAGTGGTCTGTGTGACAATGTCATAATATGGAACACCCTAATAGTCTTTCCCAAATTGTCATAAAGGTGACTGGTTTTTAGATGACAAAAATCAACTGTTCAATAAAGACGTCCGTTTCCTTTTTTAACCACTTTATATGTGTTTTGCATAAAACATTTTGCATTGTTTCCTATGTTTTTGAAGAGAAAGCTTTTTATACTTTTTAGTTTTGAGTTTTCAAAAACTACTTTTACCTACAGGTAAACCTCAAAGGGACCGTTGTACAGAAAGCATGTACAATATTCTGCTTACAGTTCTGAGTTATAAGTCATGCATGGGCTTCTTTAGTATAGTAGTCTGTTGGCCCTATGAGTAGCCATATAGGTATCACTTTTGTTTAGCAGATTCAAGGTGCTTCTTTATTGGTGTTATGTCGTAATAATGTTCACTATTGCAACATCAGTTTACAACTTCTGGCAACTACAGTGACAACTGTTTAAAATTGTGTGAGCATGCATAGCGTGATACTAGTGCATGGACACGCCCCATATAATATGCGCCTCTAAAACATTTATCTCAAACTCATAAGTGATTTTTAAACAAGAGAAAAACTGAAAAATCAGTACACAGTCATTAGCTATTTGATTCTAGGTTTTTTTTTAATATCTCTTGTAAAAAAATAAATATGTCATGCTATCAGCCTAGCTAAATGTTTTGTGAAATATTTTCAAACTTTCTGAAGTTTCTTCAGCTGTGAAATTACATTTGTATATCATGTACCTGGGTATGTAAAAATTCCATCCTGTTCAGTTGTGGACCTGTGTAGTTCTACTTTGAAAACATCCCAGCAAACCAATGTACACGCAGCTAAACACTAAACACACATATGATGAAGGGTTTTAACGTTTTACAGTGTTATTGGACCAAACTTTGTTTCCATCTTTCTATAGGAATGCTGTTGGAATGCTGTGAAGTATCTATTGAATATAACATTTCTGGCAAAAAATGTTGTCAGTGGTTTAAAAAAAAAAAAAGTAAAAAAAAAAAAAAAAAATCAAAAATTGTTTTGTGCACTTTATTGATCAACTATGTGAGTGCTCAGTGTAAGTGCATCATTCATTTGGACAGTTCTTGGGATTATTTGACTATCATTATCTTAGGTGCTTGTTTGATTTTTGCCCATTCTTTACTTAATTTCCTTTTGCTGGTTCTACTTGCAGTGACAGTTTGCTAGCGTTTTGCGCTGAATTTAAAGATGTAATTGTTGATTCAGCCTTAGTAAATGAAATTGTTTGACTATGGGGTGTTACATTGTACACAGAACATTTACCCATTCCAAGTGACCCTATTGGTGCATTAGACTCTCTTAATGGCTCCGTTTCTTAACAGTTTTTAGTGTACTTTTCATTCTACTTACAAAAATGTCCATCTTCCACAAAATGTTTTAGGACATGCTTATATGTTTCTCAGTGGCTTTATTATATATTCACATATTTTATCTAACTATATAGTTGAAGATAAAAAATGGGTTTGAGAGAGCAAAGAACCCATCAAAAGGCCCATGAATCTAAAATAAAATTGGCTTCTATAAGAATTATTTGTAATTTTCAGACATGTGTATCAGCAGCTGTACGTGCATAAATACACATGGAGTAGATGTATCTTTCTAGATGAGACATCAATTAGTCTATATTCTTATCTTCATCCATTTTTATAGTCTATGGACAGTGAATGAAAAAATGCGGTTGGGAAACCTACAAAACAAGCTTCTCTGTAGAGTTTTAGATCTTACTTTTCAGGATATCCAGAGTGTTCATAGTTAACGGTTCTCCACATAATAGAGTAGCTGATTCTTAAAAATTAGAATGGATGGCTTAGGTTGTTTAGATAAGTTTGAAGAAAGTCCCTTTCAAATTCCAACCATGTCTAAAAAATGAGAGTTTCGGGTATGCCTGGAGTTTCTGGAGAGATTATATTCCAATTAGGAATTACCTTGGAATCCCACTCCAATGCCTGCTCCATGCATGACCCTCATTAGAACCAGCTGATGGAAGAAAAGTTGTTTATAAGAGTAAGATATATTTTTTTTACCTACCAACCACTTGTTAGTTATCTTACTTAAAATTATAATTATATTGCTTCCTTCAGACTGATAAAGGAAGACAATATATTACTTCACCTGCAGGGATAGACACTTTAGGTGAGGCTGTGCCAAGGTCTGGTTTCTATACTTATATGTAAATGTTAATAGTTGTAGCCATGCAATCAAATGTTTGTTTTAGGTTACTGGCCCTTTTCAAGGTTTTTAGAAAGGTGAACTTTAGGCAAATATCTACATGCAAAATTGAAATACACGTAAGTCAACTGATTTAAATACCAAAGTATATAATTAGTTTCAGCATGTCTTGTGATTCACATAACTTTGCCACACTGGGTTACCAGGAAGGCAACAGGCCTACATTCCTGGTTTAGGTTTTCAGCTTTTCCAGATACTTCTAAGCCTCCAGCTTGCTCATTAGACAAAGAATATGTATCATCATACATTGACTCATTCATTGCACTTGAGCAGGCAAATGATGAAGGAAATTGTAAAGATAATCAGGAAATAACCAAGTCATCTATATTACTATACAGTGTGACAGAGGTATACAAATCACAAGATTGTCTGAACAGTGTTAAAAATTCACTGCTAGGTAAAACAGTTTACATATTTGTATTTGATGGTTTGCTTGAAGCTCTGCCTTAACTAGCTAAACACATTTTTCAATATACCTTTCCTCATGAAATGTCCATCCTGACTTTTCTACCCTGCCTTGCATTCTGGGAAAACATATTCTTCTCAAATTGTGCCTTTTTACTCTCAGTACTTAAGGCAGAATTCACAACAGAATCAAAAGCTAAGCATAATACAGATACACAAATCTAATATAAGGCTTATCGTAGGAGATTGTAAATTGCAGCCTTAGGGTTTATGCAAACACACATCCAGCCAACATATGAGTTTAACAATGTGAACATATTTTACAGAGAATGGACTGTAGGCTTTATCCAACACAATGAATGACCATCTTTCTCCCATCTCCACCCTCAGGAGTGGGATTTTTACAATCATTCTGTTTTGTTTATATTGTCATGGAGGATCATCTATGCTGATTTTATAAAACCCATGTTTGCTCCAGTATATAAGGTAGGATGTGCTGCTATTCAAGATTACAGTTGGCACCAGGTCAGTCGTTAGTAGAATAGAAGGATTTGCTAGTGTTTCTGCTTAGAGGGATCTGGAGCATTCTGAGAAATGGCTAAATCCTGCAGAAGGCATGACACAAGGACAGGATGCAGAAATATTTCCTTGTGGAGCAGGGTTTTAACTAAAACTTAAAGTGAACTGAATAACACATTATGTACACTAATGTATTTACAAATTCTCAACAAGTGTCGAAAGCACTTTATAACTATTCACTCATCGGTATGGATATATGCGTTATAGAGATATTCACCTTCAAAATTCAAAACAGAGGCACTGAAGTCTCATCTTCTTTCTTGTTACTTTCTATTGCAGCAGAATCTTAGCAGCCTGTCATTTTTCTAATGTAAACACACACTAGGTGCTTGTAAGGGGATAGGATGTGACTAAAACAGGACATTAGCGTCTATTTGGGAAATAATTACTTCACAGTAAAAGCATCTAGAGAGGTCAATGAGTACTTGTTTTAAAGCTATATTACGTCTTGTTAAGAATATATAAATGCATTAATGTCCATATTCTGGGAACAGGTGCACTTTAAGGGGTTTTGTAGCAAAATAGGCTTAGTCCACCAGATATGCTAAGCTCCAGTGTTGAAGGAAGTCTGTAAATTGAGGCATGTTTTATTCAAAAACATTACCTAGTATGGTAGTTTTTTAATTGCCTTTATGAACATCTGTCACAATTAACTGACCTAGACATACTTTCATTATTCCTGGTGATATGCCAAATACAGTCATTACTGCAATTCAACCTACTGTACTTCTAGAAAAGGTCATTTGAGCATTTCAGTGTATTCAGGTTCAGGTTGATTAATATGGCAGATTAGACAAATCCAGATCTATTTTGATGACCTGCGTGAAAAGGGAGAAAATTATTCCAACAGCCAGCTGATTACTAATTGTTGAATGCTGATTGACAGAAATAGTAAATCGAGTTGTAACTGACTCAATCAGTTATTTGAAGTATCATTAATCACATTTTCTGGTGTCCCTTTTGAAAGTTGAATGCTTGGATTACCTTTTGGGTTTACCTATGGTAGAGTTTTTTTCTGGTGTATAGTAAACTTTTTTCTGTTGTATATCATTGTAATGCCTAATAGAGGTCACTTGTTCCTAGTAAACCATTAAGTTGTGTAAGTATGTGTGAAGAAATAAATACTTGCTATAGAAGAGTTTATGCTACCTGGAAGTCCTTTACAAGGTTATGAAGCTGCCGCAAGCCATGAACATGCATACAGGTGAAGAATAATGCCACTTAACTAAAAAAAAACAGCCTTGTATCATTGAAATCAGGATCACTCGCATGAAAGTGTCCATCCATGTAAGTGATTTATTTACCCCAGTACAAGCCTAGTTTAATGTGAAGACTTTCTCTTTACTTGTAAGGTTATAAATTGATATCCACGTCATAAATTTGTTAAGCATCAGTAAAACTAAAATCAAAATTTTTAATGGGATATACATATTTTCCAATGTTTCTCAAGTTAGTTCTGGCAGTTAAAGTGTTGGACTTGATCTGTAGAATAGATATCTCTGTGTTGGACTAGCAATTTCTGTAGTTGGGGTTTGAGCGGATGTAGTGGGGCCTATTTTGCTCTAAAATTTTATTCAGAAATGCT